AGTCAAAATGTTTTTTTTTCCGAACCAATCAGAAAAATATATATTGAGTCTGTGACACATGGCGCCTTTCCTTTCCAATAAATGCGTGTGTGTGTGTATTTACTGTTTGTTTGGAATTACTATTTATGTCTGCAGAATCGAACTATTAGCTCTTGGACCCCGCCTTTCTAACCAATCTGTTTTTCTCTATTATTAATCAACTGATGTGTGTGTGTGTGTGTGTGTGTGGTGTATGTGTGTGTGTGTGTGTGTGTGTGTGTGTGTGTGTGTGTGTGTGTGTGTGTGTGTGTGTGTGTGTGTGTGTGTGTGTGTGTGTGTGTATCATAAATCTTTTGCAATATTGTACAAATATTTCAACACGTCGCGAGAAATACATATTTTTACTATTAATAAAAAAAAAAACCCACCGAATTGCATTTTGATCTAAATTGTTTCATATTTTCGAAATAAAAGAAGCGGATGCCACACTCTTTTTACATTAGCATTCATGAACATTAATTTGGTTATCAATTCTGTATGTATATATAATATACATAAGGCATTGAGCAACACGCGTGGGTCTTAAAAGTATGCTGTGTATATTCTCAACCAGTAATACAACTATACAATCACGATGGAAACGTTGTTTGAACTAAGAAATAGCGGGGTATGTTGACCACACACTAGAAAGTGAAGGGACGACGACGTTTCGGTCCGTCCTGGACCATTCTCAAGTCGATTATGCGACTTGTGCTATAAAGACCAGGAGTTACACAATCGACTTGAGAATGGTCCAGGACGGACCGAAACATCGTCGTCCCTTCACCTTCTAGTGTGTGGTCTGGTCAACACACTTCAGCCACGTTATTGTGACTCCTCGCCTGCAAATAGTTGGGAGTGCAAAACAAGGCAAAGAAATGCGGAGAATGGTATACCAAAATAAAGAAAAAGGGGGAGTGGTATATCAAGAAGAAGAAATAGATAATGAGTAGGAGCAAAGACAAAGTAATGGGGGAATAGGAATCAAGGAAAGAAAACGGGGGAAGGTGGAAAGTGGGAACCAAGATAAAGAAATCGGGGAGTGGAAGCAAAAAAATGGAGGAACATGGAAATAGAACAAAAACAGACACTGAAATTACGTAAATAGGAAAATTAAAATAAAATAGAGAGATAATTGGTGCGAACCAGGGGGGCCAGATTCACAAAACAGTTACGCAAGCACTTAGAAACCTGTACATCTTTTCTCAATCTTTGGCGGCTTTGTTTTCAATTATTATTCAGTTAATGAGCTCTGAAGCACCACGAGGCTGTTTATAACCATAACAACAGTTGATTTGGAAGTTGTCATGCTTGTAAACTGTTTAATAAATGTAACCAAAGTCGTCAAAAACTGAGGAAAGATGTACACGTTCGTAAGTACCTGCGTAACTGCTTCGTGAATCTGGCCCCTGAGCGTTCTTGGCCTGGAGGCGGAGGGTGGGGGGGAGTAGGTGAGAGGGAGGGAGGGGGTAGGGAGAAGCGAGTCATCTGCTGGGGGAATATAAATACAAAATAGAACAGGAAACAGTGCATATAAATTGAATAAGTTTAGATTCAGAAAAGACCTGGGTAAATACTGGTTTAGATTCAGAAAAGACTTGGGTAAATACCGGTTTAGAATAAGAAAAGACCTGGGTAAATACTGGATTAGATTCAGAAAAGACATGGGTAAATACCGGTTTAGATTAAAAAAAGACCTGGGTAAATACCGGTTTAGTTTAAAAAAAAGACCTGGGTAAATACTGGTTTAGATATGTTTTGTGGAACAAATTACCAAGTAACATAAAAGATGTGGGATAGCTGGATTGTGTCAAGCGTATATATATATATATATATATATATATATATATATATATATATATATATATATATATATATATATATATATATATATATATATATATATATGTATATATATGGCACAACTCTCTTAAACACGAGAGTGAAGTATACAACTTTAGAACACTTTCCCACCAGGAGACTCGAACCCTAGCCAGCACAGAAGCCTTCCAGCAACTGGCATAACAGGTACGCCTTAACCCGCTCCACCACCTGCTCAGACCCTTAAAGAGATGGTAATTTCGGAGTATTTAAATACCCCAAAGATCAACACCTCCCAAGAGCACTAGAGCAAGTGAGGGGTCATTTATACGTTCGTAAGGCGTACCTGTTATGCCAGTTGCTGGAAGGCTTCTGTGCTGGCTAGGGTTCGAGTCTCCTGGTGGGAAAGTGTTCTAAAGTTGTATACTTCACTCTCATGTTTAAGAGAGTTGTGCCTTAAGCATAGACACTGTGTCTTCCCATATTAACAGGGACTTGATGAAATAAACGTATAAATGACCCCTCACTTGCTCTAGTGCTCTTGGGAGGTGTTGATCTTTGGGGTATTTAAATACTCCGAAATTACCATCTCTTTAAGGGTCTTAGCAGGTGGTGGAGCGGGTTAAGGCATACCTGTTATGCCAGTTGCTGGAAGGCTTCTGTGCTGGCTAGGGTTCGAGTCTCCTGGTGGGAAAGTGTTCTAAAGTTGTATGTATATATATATATATTGTGACGATAATCTCCTTCAAGAGAGATTGAGCCTGCTCTTCCCTCCAAACTACGTCCCAGAAACACCTAATATAGAAGATATATCCAACAAGTACAACAACAAGTTTTGCCAGGGAGCAAAACGTATCCAGCACCGGGACACCTGCTCCACCTCCGCCACTCAAACCGGCAAACTGCTTGTCCATCGACTGCCTCTCGCTGATTGGCTGGCGCCCGTCGCACCTGCTCCTCCACCCGCTACACGAGCTGATGTCTGAGCCACCGCGACCTGAGGAAGACAGAATATCTAGTGCTTTCCACAAGTTAACACGTCTCATTGGTAGACTAAGCCTTGGCTTACGTGTACTAAGGGAGGTGGCAGCTTGAAGCCAATATTCCTGCACTAATATAATTTACTTTGTTATTACTCACTTGTATTAACGTAACTTTTCATTTGCCAGTGATTATTCTTATTATTTTGTTTGATTGATTTCTCTGTTACAATTTTTATGTCCAATTTTATTCATGTTTTGCTTTTCTAACATAATTAAAATTTCATTGTTAAATTTACTTGTGTTTTGTGTGTCTTCCCATTACCTTACCACAGACAAAAGTTCCAGATTTTCTCTTTTGTTTCTTTGAGTGACGAGGCCATACCCCTAGCTTTTGAAACAGCCGAACACCAACGCGTTACTGTCACAATATATATATATATATATATATATATATATATATATATATATATATATATATATATATATATATATATATATATACAGCCACATCGAGAGAGACAGATGGGCAAGTAAAGTAGGAATTATTGAAGCAATAGCTGTGCAGGTTAGACTGTAAGCCAGATTAATAGAGGGCAAATTGTTGAAGAAGGGTTTATGTGGGAGAAAAAGTGTGCCGTGTTGAGGGAACTGCTATAGTTGAGTCTAGGTCCTGCTGCAACATGGAAGGGAGAGGCAGGGAAGCTGTAGGGGAAAGAGGAGTAAGTGGAGGCCACAGTGGGAAAGTTGCTGTCTATGCATGGAAGGGGAAGGAGAGGGCGCGGGAGGGGGGAAGTAACTATAGAGGCGGAGGAGAGCCGTGCAGGGGGAAGCTGACTTACACAAGAGGGAACTGCTTCCACATGAGTAAGTGTTGCGGTTTGATGGTCTAAATAACGCCCAGAGGTGGCAGACAGACAGACAGACAGACAGACAGAGAAAGGAGAAGGAAGTATGGCTTCAAGAGGGATGGAGAGAGAAAGGAAGGAAGAAAGAAGGGGGAGGGAAATAGGTGCCTGTACATGCTTGTAAGAGGTAGATGAAAGGTCTAATTGTTTACACAGTTGGGCACAGAAGTAGACAACTTCTGACTCCTGTTTGTAAGCTGGGAGAGTTGGTGGGTAGTTGTCCCCCTCCCAGTAACTATCCCAATTATTCTTCCAATAACTATCCCAATCACTCCCAGTTACTTTTAACTCACTTTCTGGATACCTTATATATATATATATATATATATATATATATATATATATATATATATATATATATATATATATATATATATATATATATATTTATATATATATATATATATAATATCCTTCCAGTTGTGCCAGAGTGTTCAAGTCTAATTCCGGACATTCTTAATAAATTAAGAAGAAATAAATAAATCAAGTCTTTTCCATATTTATTTCTTGCGTTCACCTTTGTTTTTGTTCCATTTTTATTCTTTCAACTTAGTTTGATTTTCTGTTTGCCCCTTTTGTTTGTCTCATTCATGATAACTACCTCCTTACCTACCCTTACCTCACTTCCTTTCCTATATTTCGTCTTTCTCGATATATAATTTTTTCTTATTCTCCTTAATTTTACATTTTTATCTTATTCTCTTAATCTTTACCTTATTGTCTCTTTTTTGTTCATTCTTTCCCTCCTGTTCATCCATTCCAGTTTAGCCATTTATGGTTTGTTTCCTTTTTATTAATTGCTATTTTGTTATTGTGTCCTCTCCCTTTGCCAGTGTTTTATTGCTAGCTTTCTATTCTACTTATTCCTAGACATATACTTACATACTCTGTCTTTTAATTCCACTTTCCAGTATCAGTTTTAATTCTCTCCTTCCAATCTCCTCGTTTTCATTTCCTTTTCTCCCTTCCTACCGCGTTTTCTTATCTATGTATACTCTTATCTGTGTATACTTTTCTACCCTCCCCTCCATCTCTCCTTTTATCTCCCTCTCCCTCCTATTTCCTTTTCATTTCTTTTCTACATCTCATGTTCATTCACATTATCTTAATTTGCTTTCCACTCAATTCCTTTGACCATTACTCGCACTTTTTTATTTTATTTACTGCTTCCATATTTATTATCTGTACTTGTCCTTACGCTTTATCCTGTATACTGAGCCGCCTTCCTCCCAAGTCTCCAAGTACTTCCACAAGCTGTCCCGCGCCTTCCAACCTGTCTTCCACCTTCTCCAACGTCTCCTAGTACGTCCATAAGCTTTCCTACATCTCCCAGTACGTCTTCAAGCTCTCCAACGTTTCCCAATACGTCCACAAGCTTTCCAGCATCTCCCAGTACGTCCACACGCTTTCCTACATCTCCCAGTACGTCCACAAGCTTTCCTACATCTCCCAGTACGTCTTCAAGCTGTCCAGCATCTCCCAGTACGCCCACAAGCTTTCCTACTTCTCCCAGTACGTCTTCAAGCTGTCCAACGTCTCCCAGTACGTCCACAAGCCGCTTAACTAGCGTGAGAGGTAAAGGGGGTAATTACCCTTGAAGTGGCGTTCTCGGTTGTGTGAGTGCTTACCTAATTGTAGTCATCTACAGGCTCGATCTTAAGCTTTTGGACCCCGCCTTCCCTGCTACCGGTTCTTTAATGCAATAACTACCACCTTGACTTTTATCAAATTTACTGTTGACGTTATGAGTGGAGTTTTTGCCTACAATCTAATCGTTTTGTTTATGTATATTTAACTATTCTTTCGCTAAGAAACATACATTTTCACATTCGACTCTGAAGCTTTCATCCCATGTTCAGTTGTTGTTTTGGTATTCACTATGAACATTTCCTCCTTTTCCACAGTGGCAATACATTTATGTTTTTAATTTCACATCATGTCTCCTATAATTTTATGACGTTAGGTCCAGGTCTTTCAGTCTGTCTTCATACACCTTGCCTCGTCATTCTGGGACACGTGCCTTGAAGCACACCTCTGAAATTTGCTAAGTTTTCTTATGTGCTGTTTGAGGTGGGGCTATGTATACTAAACCCCAGCAAGGGTATTTAGAATTTTCAAGTATATATGTGTATATATATATATATATATATATATATATATATATATATATATATATATATATATATATATATATATATATATATATATATATATATATATATATATATATATTTTCAAGTATATCTGTGTATATATATATATATATATATATATATATATATATATATATATATATATATATATATATATATATATATATATATATATATATATATATATATCTTAAGAAGTCACCGATGTTAGGTAGAATGAATGAAACATGATCGAGTCAAACCATTTAGTCTACCGAACGTAAATTACTTTTTCTCATAGTAAATATATTATTTTAGGTTTAATCTTTTCATCTCAATAAAGATGCTCGTTTGTGGTTAATTTGGTTAGAACTTTGATTATTATTTATGTAAATATCTTCCTGTCCGGCGTTTACATGTACCTGTCAGAGTGACTTACAAATACAAATTTCTAAACGAACGTTAAATGGTTGTTTGTACTTTCACAATTAAAATACTGGAGTATTATAAGGTTAATGTTGCCTGCTGCTCTGGATTATATAAAGCCAATATTGCATATCTGGTAGACTTCTCGCTTTGATTTGCATATCAAATATCAAGAAGGAAGTAGTTATTGTGGGCTCCTAATGACGTTTTTTTGGTTTATTCCCTCGGGGCCTGTCTCGTCCTCTGAGGGGACGATGCCTAGCCCAGCTGGCTAGACCTCGTCCCTGCTCTTCCCCTCCTAGCCGCTCCTCCTGTTAGTAGCTGTGTCAGTAAAGTTACTTCCATCCCTGCCTCCAGCCACGTATTTGCTTTACAGTCGTGGGGGCTTCTTGCCTCTCTAGCCTACCATATGGTTCTGGGTCTGCTGGACCAGGTGGGGGTTCTGGGTCTGCTGGTCCAGGTGGGGGTTCTGGGTCTGCTGGTCCAGGTGGGGGTTCTGGGTCTGCTGGTCCAGGTGGGGGTTCTGAGTCTGCTGGACCAGGTGGGGGTTCTGGGTCTGCTGGTCCAGGTGGGGGTTCTGGGTCTGCTGGACCAGGTGGGGGTTCTGGGTCTGCTGGAGCTTCACCATAATGGGTGCTATTAAAGCTAGAAAATAGTTTTGTTGATCAACTATTGCCTAAATGTTTACTCACTTGTAAATTCACGCAAGCACATGTGGATGAGGACGTGGTGTAGTTTGGTGTGTGTGTCAACCTAGCCGAGGGCCAAGAGCCCAACGATCCGATGAATCCCTGAGGTCTCCGGTCGTGATGCGACGCTGCTCCTCACTCAACTGGAACTCGGTACACGGATTTACAATCATTTCCCTTAGTAAATTATATTCTCGGCTGACTGTACTACATATAAAGTGTGGGTTTTATTCCTGTCACGTAAATATTTCAGATATGCAAGTGGAATTTAATTAGACTTAAAGGATTCCTGGTTGTGTTTCCAGGTGTTGTGTTGGGGTGAGTACATTCTCCTGCACTGGGTGAGTGTACACTTCATTCACTGGTAACTCACGGCTGTGAGTAAAACATACGTATCTGCTCCAGCACGCACACAAACACCCATTCTATATATTGAAACCCAAATACCCACATGCAAATTGAAGCAATAAATCTTGGAGCATTGGCCAAAAAGACCCCTTAATATGTCTCGGTGAATGTCGTTTTGAAGAACCCGGAGGAAGAGCAACCAGGAGGTGCTGGTGGCCTTAGAGAGGCGTCGGCCAGCATGCAGTGTTGGAGAGGCGGTCATGGGGTCGACTACACAACTCTTTCTCCTCCTCTAAACATTATGTGTTACTCGTGAGACATTCTTACTCTTGTATTGTGACCAAAGTTAGAGTCTTCGCTTGTGTCTTGTTAGTTGTATATGTGTGTGTGTGTGTGTGTGTGTGTGTGTGTGTGTGTGTGTGTGTGTGTGTGTTGTTGGGTTTTTCACGCATTTTAGCGTTGTTTTTATTTACTATAGATTATAGGCACTAAAGATGACAGGCACTATTAGCATTAAATGATAGTGCTCATAGCAACGTTTTGGTCAAGCGTATCAAAATTTACGGTTGGACCCCTCAAAAAGTATCGTCTTGCCATTTAATTATCCCAAATGTTATAAAAACTGGGAAATTTAACTTAAGGACGTAATCTAATGAGTCCAAGCAATCCGTGTCCTAATATATCATAATGCTAATATAGTTGCATGAATGTGCCATACTAGGTCTAGCAACATCATACTTTGGTGTTTATTATTTTGTTCGTCCCTTCTACAAAATGAAAAGTACAAAACGTAACTTGTTATGGGTCCAACTACATATTTGTACGTTTAACCAAATAGTTGCTATAAATACCATCCTTGAGAGGATGGTTGGCCATATATATATAGGTGACTGTGTCATCTGCTTGACCAACATTTAATGTGAGGATGAGACAAGGTTGTTATGTGTATTCCCACACCAGCAGCTGGGTACACATTTGTAATCCCGTCTGGGCGATTAACGGGATTAACAGTACTGAGAGACATTATAAAACGGGGGTCTCTCTATGCCGGCACTCGGCTGTAATTTGGCTGTTTTCTTGACAGTGTCATTGTGTCTCAGTGCCAACCCTTGTGGGGTCTGCAGTTCATACCCAGCACATCGTGTCTGACAGCTTCCTCGTCACCTCAAATACATCTATTTCCTGTGGGGATTGGCTTGCGTGATGGAGCCTCACCGACACAGAGGTACTGCATGTGGAGACGCAGGACAGTTACAGACATGGGTGACGCTAACTGAAAGTCCCATGCATGAGGAGTGCCTACTGCTGTCAGGCAAGCTACCTCACTTTTATGTTATTGTAACTTCAAGACAACCCGCTGTCTACGATATTGATGCCCCAGCTGAATTGCTTGTTGAATTCTAAATGGGTCTGGCCTCAGTGCTGGTTTTTCGAGAAAATCCCATTTGTTATATTTGTATATGAAGCTGAGATCGTGTACTTGATCTGATTTATCTAGGTACTCTGACAAGACTACCTTAACCTGATCGGCAGATGCTGAGAGGGAACGGGGATGCTGGTAGAGTGATGAGGATGGCTGTGTGGAGGCCCACACCACCGAACCAGCGGGAAGGGTGGATGTGCGAATACCAGTCATATAGCCTAAAGGAACAGTGGTCTGTGTCCACTGAAGTTCATCAATGGAGTGATTGAGAAATTTGTCCTTTATAGATTTTGCAAATATACGTTGTTATCTTTTCAAAATTTTTAAAACCACAGAATTTTGCGATCAAATTAGGACGACACTTTTTTTTTGCTCTGTGGTTGAATATTGCAGGACAGGTCTGGTAATTTATCGCAGTTGGTTTGATTGTTTTTCATTTATTACATTTAAATTTAAATTTAAAAAAAATTACTGGTATCACGCGTTGAGCCTCTGAGCGTGTCTCCCTTCTGAGAATACTGTCAATATTGCAGAGGTTTTTGGGTGAGTTTGTTGACGGAATGAGTGTATGCATGTGGAGTGTGTACATACTTAATTGTCTTCACATTGTGTCTGTGTTGTTTGTGTGTGTGTACTCACCTAGTTGTGTTTGTGGGGGTTGAGTTCTGGCTCTTTGGTCCCGCCTTTCAACCGTCAATCAACAGGTGTACAGATTCCTGAGCCTATTGGGCTCTATCATATCTACACTTGAAACTATGTATGGAGTCAGCCTCCACCACATCACTTCCTAAAGTGTGTGTGTGATTTCTATTTCTCCCCCCCCATCTCTGTCCTGTTACTCCTCTCCGTCTCTCCCTCTCATTCCCTCCTGCTCCTTCCTCCTCCTGCTCCCTCCTTTCACCAGTTCCCTCACACCAGCGCCAGCAACTCCGGAATAAATCTCACTCTGGCTTTAATGTGGTTTCCGCAGACTTGAATGACGGCCTCAGTTAATTTTTTCGTCATGAAGAAACGTCTTCCCCTCCCCTCCCCCCCTCTCTCTCTCTCTCTCTCTCTCTCTCTCTTCACCTACTCAAACACACTCTCTCTCTCTCTCTCTCTCTCTCTCTCTCTCCTCTCTCTCTCTCTCTCTCTCTCTCTCTCTCTCTCTCTCTCTCTCTCTCTCTCTCTCTCTCTCTCTCTCTCTCTCTCTCTCTCTCTCTCTCTCTCTCTCTCTCTCTCTCTCTCTCTCTCTCTCTCTCTCTCTCTCTCTCTCTCTCTCTCTCTTCTCTCTCTCTCTCTCTCTCTCTCTCTCTCTCTCTCTCTCTCTCTCTCTCCTCTCTCTCTCTCTCTCTATCTCTCTCTCTCTCTCCTCTCTCTCTCTCTCTCTCTCTCTCTCTCTCTCTCTCTCTCTCTCTTCTCTCTCTCTCTCTCTCTCTCTCTCTCTCTCTCTCTCTCTCTCTCTCTCTCTCTCTCTCTCTCTCTCTCTCTCTCTCTCTCTCTCTCTCTCTCTCTCTCTCTCTCTCTCTCTCTCTCTCTCTCTCTCTCTCTCTCTCTCTCTCTCTCTCTCTCTCTCTCTCTCTCTCTCTCTCTCTCTCTCTCTCTCTCTCTCTCTCTCTCTCTCTCTCTCTCTCTCTCTCTCTCCTCTCTCTCTCTCTCTCTCTCTCTCTCTCTCTCTCTCTCTCCTCTCTCTCTCTCTCTCTCTCTCTCTCTCTCTCTCTCTCTCTCTCTCTCTCTCTCTCTCTCTCTCTCTCTCTCTCTCTCTCTCTCTCTCTCTCTCTCTTAATCTCCTTCCTCCTTTATCATGGTCTCTCATTCTTGCTTTTTCTCTTATACCTCCCCCTTCCCCCTCTCAGATCCCCCTCCTCCCCCTTCCCCTTCTCAGATCCCCCTCCTCCCCCTCCCCTTCTCAGATCCCCTCCTCCCCCTTCCCATCCTCTCCTGCCTCCTCCCTTTGTCTACAAAGTTCCTCCCTCCTTTCTCTCCGGTCTTGTTTTTCCTGCCCTTCAAATCCTCTTGTGCTCTTGCTGCTCCTGGTAATGCTTCTGTTATTGTCGTTGATGATGCTGTTGCTCCTGTTACTGTCATTCATGCTGCTGGAGATGTTGCTGATTTCACAGCAACGGCCGCGGCTGGCAGTGTTGCTGTAACTTTTAATGATGTTTTTATTGCTGATGCTGATGCTACGCTTGTCATTCTGCTGCTGTTACTGCAACTGATTTTGGTGCTCCTGTTCCTGTTCCTCTTCCTTCTCCTTCCAGCCGGCCTGTGCTTCAAGCTCTCCTTTCACCGCTAAGTGGCACAGTTTCAGAGCTTTGCAGCACTTCAAGACAGATAACGCGCTTCCATTTGAATTAATGTAATTTGTAATTTCGACTTCATTCCTTTCCTCTTCCGACCCTCTCCTCTCTCTCTCTCTCTCTCTCTCTCTCTCTCTCTCTCTCTCTCTCTCTCTCTCTCTCTCTCTCTCTCTCTCTCTCTCTCTCTCTCTCTCTCTCTCTCTCTCTCTCTCTCTCTCTCTCTCTCTCTCTCTCCCTCCCTCTCTGTCTCTCCCTCTTCCTCTCTCCCTCTTCCTCTCTCCCTCTCTCTCTCCCTCTCTCTCTCTCCCTCCCTCTCTCTCTCTCTCTCTCTCTCTCTCTCTCTCTCTCTCTCTCTCTCTCTCTCTCTCTCTCTCTCTCTCTCTCTCTCTCTCTCTCTCTCTCTCTCTCCCTCTCTCTCTCTCTCTCTCACGGGGCCAGGGCCAAAACTAGTGCCAAGGTCAGGGCCAAGGTCAGGCCATCAGAGTGTTCACAACAACGAGGGAAGAGACTGACACCTTGACTAAGCGAGGCGTCTCGCTGCAGGAAACAAGGGGGCTGGATCGTGCCAGGCAGGTAAACACGTTTGACGTATGTCGGTGGTAATTAATTTATCTCACCTTATGTGATAAAGTGTCTCAGGCTGCACCCCGCTAGAGACACGGAGGACCAGAAGGAGGAGAGGTGGGGGGTGAGAGAGGTGTTTAAGTAGGTTAGAAGCAGACATAAACAGGGGCCTGAAACTGTTGACTCAAGGCAGAACCAGCAGCAGTGAGTACAGTTTGGAGACATTTCTGTTTAGGAAGGATATGTAGGGTTATCTTGAGGTTATCTTGAGATGATTTCGGGGCTTTTTAGTGTCCCCGCGGCCCGGTCCTCGACCAGGCCTCCACCCCCAGGAAGCAGCCCGTGACAGCTGACTAACAGGGTGGATGTAAACAGGGCCCGTTAGTGGAGAACAGGAACATGCTTCGGTTCTCACTAGTTGTTATGTTCTTAACGTTCTTGTTATAGATGTTTGAGAATATGTAATAATCTCTATGATGGGCACAACCACTTTTTGCTGAAGAAATTCATTTTTTTTAACATATGCTAACGTTGAATTTGTATTGATTAACTGGTGTTTAGATCTTAACCCATTTGACCCACGTAACTACACAACTATAACTTGGTATTTTGTAAATAAGCAGTTTCTGCTCTAAAGCTTTTTTTTAATGCCTTTTTTTTTAATAATTGGGTCTTATGTAAATGACATTCCATTTTTCTTGGGTACTATTTAATCTTTTAACAGAGGCACATAATGGGTTCGGGAAGTGAACGTCACTGTTGGTTGAACTAAGACAGTGACAGTGTTGTGAAGGTCCTCCGCCTCGTCACTGTTGGTCCACCATGCTGTTGTCACTGTTGGTTCACCATGCTGTTGTCACTGTTGGTCCACTATGCTGTTATCACTGTTGGTCCACTATGCTGTTATCACTGTTGGTCCACTATGCTGTTATCACTGTTGGTCCACTATGCTGTTATCACTGTTGGTCCACTATGCTGTTGTCACTGTTGGTCCACTATGCTGTAAGCTCCCTGTTCACCGGAATTGTTTAGACTATAATTCTCTTCGTTTTTTGCAAAGTAATTTATTTCATTATAACTGATTTTTAATATCAAAATGTTTAGAAGTGAATGTTGCAAAATAGATATTATAAAATGATATATGGTTGGCGTCGCTGAATATACAAAAATTCCTGATCATTTCCACATTTTTCATTTATTTATCGTAAATAGTTTTGTTTTTTAAAATTCTGAGCATATATTTGATATATATTAATGTACAAAGAAATTAATAGTTATTTCTATAACGAACAGCGTATGTCAACCTACGTGAGAGGAGTATTGCTGTATGCAGCACCAGCATGGAACCCATATCTTATAAGCCACAAAAATAAAATAGAGAGAGCTCTTAGATTTGCCGCAAGACTCATAAGACAAATTATAGGCATTAGCTACCAGGACGAGGCTAAGAGAACTGTAGAAGACATGATTAAGACATATAAAATACTAAGAAAAATAGGCAAGGTGACTGAGAATAAATTGTGTGGTGGATGACTGAAATGGATCTAAAGAAATGGTAGTTAAGACGGAAACAGTAGAATACAAGGACGCTGAAATTGTGAGCAGAGCTTTACCCTGGTACTCTAGAGAGAGAAGGCGGATAAAATATATATCTAGGCTTATTCCTTAAGCATTATTGCATTCGCACGCAAAACCCACGAACGAACACACAAACACACACACACACTATTCATAATTTTAAAACCAGGTATGATAGGGAAATGGGACAGGAGTCATTGCTGTAAACAACCGATGCTCGAAAGGCGGGATCCAAGGGTCAATGCTCGATCCTGCAGACACAACTAGGTGAGTACAACTAGGTGAGTACACACACACACACACACACACACACACACACACACACACACACACACACACACACACACACACACACACACACACACACACACACATACACACTTAACATTAAACTGAAAATGCCAAATCTTTCATCCACTTTTCGTCTATATCGTCTTGTAGCAAATTTGAATCTTGAATTTATTTCCTACTTTATTTCTTAATCGTTTGCAAATATATAAACAACAAAGGTCTCAGGACTGAGTCCTAAAACACTTCAATTGCAACGGGTTCCCACTCGGACTTAACTCCACTTACAGGAACGTCAACCTTCCTCATCCTTTGAAACAATCTTATCCTTATCCAGCTTAGGATAAAACCACTCAAATATCACACGGCTCCACCTTTGACGTATTCAATATAACGGAACCCAAAGGGTAAGCGAACCTGTATGCCAGTGACGTGAAGAGTGAAAATGGGGGACCAGGAGCTGAAGCTGACCTCTCTGGCATACAGAGAGGTGCATACATTACCCCATACACAGCCAGCGTGTATCGTTTCCGGTCAAATAACCACCCGGACCTTTGACATTTAAAAACA